GGCTTTTTTTTTTTCAGAAGGTATAATGGGTTAATTTTAGAAGTTCTTTATAAAATGAAAAACAATTTCAACCCGATTTGGTAATACCCAAATCGGCTGTATTGACTAATTCTGCTGAAATTTATGATGTTCTGTTTGAAATGTTGGTATTGGCTGATTTTGCTAATTGATGAAAAAATTATATTCAAAATATATTTTATTAATAAAAAAAGAAAAAATTATATGAAAAAACAGCTTAAAAGATTCTCTACAATAACTTCTAATAATCTGTCTAATAATCTGTCTAAAAAAGATGCTCTTTGTGCCTTTTCTAGTAATCTGTCTTCCACTGCGAAATTCTTGAAAGTAGCTTTACATTGGCAGTGGTCGGAATTTGTGGGCATCTCAACCCTGAAGGAATCCATGGATGCTACACTAATACAATTTCCCTATCCTAAAGCAAAAGATCGATTCGGGTACCCTTTTCATAAGGATATAGAAACTGGTTCAACCCTAAACATTTAGGAGGTGTTTACTTCACTGCTAAAGTCACAGTTAGGTTAGTAAGACAGGTGAAGTAAACACGTACACTGCTTAAAAATCCGCTTACTAAGCGAAAAAGGTGCTTAAAGTGCCGCTTATTAAGCATACCACTCCCCATGTATTAATTAAGCGGCACTTTAAGCTTTTTCAGTTTCCGAATTTACCCCTTGCCCTTAACCTATTGTTATCCCTGCCCACCTACCCCGACCCCACCCTACCCTTACCCCACCTACCCTGACCCCACCCTACCCTTACCCCACCTACCCTACCCCACCCCGACCCCACCCTTCCTACCCCACCCCTACCCTACCTAACCGACCCCCACCCTACCCTTACCTACCCCGACCCTACCCCTACCTACCCGACCCCCCTACCACTACCCCCGACCCCACCCTACCCCTACCTTACTTGTCCGACCCCACCCCTACCCTACCCCACCTACACTACCCTTACCCCGACCCCACCCCTACCCTTACCCCACCTACCCTACCCCTACCTGACCCCACCTTACCCTACCCTGACCCAACCCAACCCTACCCCATCCTACCCCTACCCGACCCCACCCTACCACTACCCTACCTACCCAATCCCACCCCTACCCTACTTACCCGACCACACACCTACCCTTACCCTACCTACCCCACCCCTTACCCACATACCCGACCCCACCCTACCCTATCCGACCCTACCCCTACCCTACCCCCTACCCCGCCTCAACCCCCACCCTACCTACCCGAACCCACCCTACCACTACCCTACCTACCCAACCCCACCCCTACCCTACCTACCCGAACCCACCCTACCACTACCTGACCTCAATCACCCCACCCTATACCCCTTACCCCACCCCTTACCCCACTATACCTAGGGTGGTGGGGTCAGGGTGGGGCCGATGTGATAGAGGCGTTAGGGGCAGGGTAGGTGTGGTGGGGTAGGGGTGGGTTGGGTAGGGTAGGGGTAGGGGCGGGGTTGGGGTAAGGTGGGGTCGGGGTGGGTCGATGTGGTAAGGGCCTATGGGGTCGGGGGTAGGGTTGCGGTAGGGTGGGGACATGTAGGGGTAGGGTCGGGTAGGTAGGGTGGGGTCAGGTAGGTAGGGTAGGGGTAGGGGGTAGGGGCAGGCGGTGGGTGGGGTCGGGGTAAGGTAGGGTGGTTAAGGGGTTAGGGGTATGGGTACACATATTATATTATATACTTGTGTTCATGAATGTTTGTGTGTATATATATGTATAGGGTTATTTTGGACATTTTAATGTTAAGCGGTGTTTTAAACCGTTTGAAGTAAACACGGTCTTACAACATTGTTTATTTTATGCGCCGCTTATTAACACGGGTCTTAATAAGCACCGTTTAATAACCGGTGAAGTAAACATGTCCTTAGGACTTTAGGTAGTGTTTGCAATGTTTAAAAAAAAAGAAAAGCATTTTCCAATATTTTTGCTTTAAAAGTTGATAAGTATGGAGTATGTGTTTTCAAATGAGTGCTTTTACTTAAATACTTGTAGCTAAGCTATTTAAAGTTAAAATCTAAAAACAACGGAATATGTTTGTTTAACTGTTTTTCAATTTCTACCACACAAAAAACCACATTTCACTAAGCATTAACGTCTAACTTTTTCTTTTCAAAATTCAAATACAATCATTTTTTTTACAATTAATCACTTTTTATATACTCTATGAGATTGTATTTTCATTAATGCAATTATAGCTATAATTATAATTATGATTTTAATTATTACTATTGATAAACTTGTAATTATGATTATAATTATTATTATTATAGTTATAATTATAACTCTAATTGTTATTATAGTTATAAGTATAAATATAATCTAATTTTAATTTTAATTACACATTTTAAAATTGGCAGTTAAAAAATTTCAAAAAAAATCCATCAAGGCTGCTAAAATTACACAATTTATAGTTATAACTCTAAATGTACACATTACATGAACATATCTACATTTAATGAAGAACATACTTACAAATTTCATAAAAAATCCATTGAAAGCATCTCAAATAGAGGTGGCCGGATGATAATTCCTACCAAGACGGCCTAAGGTGAAGATTATATATAACATTAAATGAGTAGCGATCTTATCATGTCGGTCTGACAGGACTCACCGTCTGAACAAGGTCATTTGGGATCCTTCTCGGTGGAATTTTTTGAGCATGTACTTCATCAAGTCCAGTTTAAGCCCACCTAATTTCAGCTTAAGATTCAATCGAAAAGGCAGTTACATAAACTATTTACAAACATTGCGCTTGGTATATGTATAAACAACACAATGTTTTTCAATTTCATATTTGACTGCCTTTCTGATTGAATTTTTAGCTAAAATTTGATATGCATAAACTAGACTTGATGAAGAACATGATGAACTGCCCATATACAAATTTCAGAAACTACATTAAAATCGCTACAAAACCTGTAAAAAATAATTCAAATTTCATAAAATTTTGATATATAAAGTAAGAGATCAAGAGTGATTTGTATTGACCAAGTGAATATGAAAGATATCTTAGAAAATGGGACTGGGGGAGTATTAGATAAGGCCGTTTTAAGTTGACAGGGCTTAGGCGCAATGGAGCCAAAGTTTACCTATTTTGGCTTGGAAATATGATGGAATAAAACAAAACGACTCTCTAAATTGTCTGCGCTGCTTTATTATGATCGGTCAGTCAATGTAATTTTCGACGCGATTTTTACCACGGGTCATCCGGAAACCGTCTCCTTATGCCTTAGTACATGAGTAAGGTTGCGTACATCCGACCCCCTTTACTCCACCATAGGTGGGGAACCTTTGTGGCACTGTGGTAATGATGATGAATGAATGGATGAGAAACTACATTAAAATATTTTCAAAGTTGTAAAATTCAAACCAGAATATAATTAAAAATTGATATTCTAATTAAGTGAATAAAATGAAGCTGTTTGATAAGAAAGGTTGACTTCAATTTACAAATCGCTTTGCGACGGAGGTAGGGTTATTCTCAATCATTGAATTTGAAACACTTCATGTTCTAATACGACATTTGGTTCTAAACCACTAAACCAACAAAATTTCACCACTCAACCGAAGTTACTGGCGGGGTTGGGACATTTCAAGATAAAGAGACGAAGGGAAGTAAGTGATTATCCAACTTTCTGACAATTTTTTTCCGTATTAATGCTAATTAATTAAGTTTTTACGAAAATAGGGTTGGATTAAAAATATTTATGGATATACTGCTGAGCTTAACCCTGGTCGGGGTAAGTCGCCGAACCGTTTGGCGACTTATAAGTCGCCCAACCGTTTAGCGACTTATAAGTCGCCCAACGGTTTGGCGACTTACCCTTAAGTAAAAACATCGGGTAACGCCAGCCACACAGACAGAATGCAAAACCCCCCTTCCCAAACAATCTGCAGCAGCGAGGACGACCGACTCCGGGCGAAAACAGTTCCAATTCCAGCGAAACTCTGACGATTCCTCCCTATCTTGTGAATACTACTTCATTTCCATCTTCTTCAACACTCTAAGTAAACAAATATCTTCATTTCATCTCATTTTTCATTTTAGGGTTTAGAATATAGAAAATTGGATTTTGTAAATTAGGCATTCATCTCATTTTTGTGAATTGATTTGTTGTGTAATGTGAATATGTATGAATTGTTGATGTTGAATTCATTGTTATATACATTTTTTGTTATGTAATGTAGATTTGGAGGTGTTTTTTCCCCATTAATGCTAAAATACTAAAAAATTAGAATGTATTTTTTTTATGTGTTATATTTTTCCATTTTTAAGTGTATATATATATATATATATATATATATATATATATATATATATATATTGTAGGATTTGCTTAATATGTTGGAATGTCTATGAAATGATTAATTTGGGTGTATAAAGTGTGTATATTAATATTTACTCATCAAAGTTGGACATGTATTGTTATTAGAATATGGATTTCTCAAACTTCCCAATTGTGTGTCATTGGGGAGGGAACGTATATGAGGAAGGTGGCCAAATATGCCATGAAGGTGGTAGAAGCAACTTTGTCATTGTTTCTCGTGGCGCATGTCTGCTCGAAATGCTGCAAAAAATCTATGTAGCTACACAGATTCCTCCTAGCCGGTCTTTGCGCTTGAAAATGAAATTTCCAATGAACGGGGGAAATTACATGCTTATGCCACTTCTTGATGAGCTAGCTGTCACAAACATGTGGATGATAATTGACATGGAGAGTATGTCCTCGCTGGAGATATACATTGAGGAATCCATTGGTGACTCTTCTACAGCTTCGACAACATCAAATGATGTTGTATCTAGGCATGGTGTCAATGTAGGTGTCAATGAAGGGAACTCCTCTAATGATGCTGTACTGGACATGGTTATAGAGGAAGATGGTATGTATTTGCACAATGGTGCATCATTTGTGGATGGGCAGACCAGTGATGATGATGCTGACGAGAACATCAATGGTGATGACATGACAAAATCTGATGAAGATGATGGTGATACTGTCAGGGCAACTACCCCGTCTAGCCACTTTACTAGAATATATGATCTCCCTGAAGGCTTTACTGATGCGTGGATGAGCGGAGCGGGTATGAAAAGGTTTACACCCGAAAGTGAGTTTGAGGTTGGTCAACAGTTTGACAACAAAGAACAAGTCATCAATATTACCAGCTTGTATTCTATCAAAGGGTGTTTAAACCCATTCGTGACCGTGATTATTCCCCGGATTACCATGGACCTCATATTGTGCACGATCCATCCATGCTTCGGGCTAAGGGAAGACCTAAGTCCACACGTATTAAGAATGAGATGGATGAAGGTCCCCGAGGAACGGTTAGATGTGGAAAATGTAAACAAACTGGCCATAATAGGGCCACATGTGCGAAGAGATCATCAAGAGATGAAGGGGGGTCCACTGGGTAAGGTTTTAATTATAATAATCCACAATTGATACTAACGTGGCATGACAAAAAATTAAATAATATAATTTTAATAAAAAATCAATTAATAAAATAGTAAAATTTAACTAATATCCTTTTTCATTTTTGTAGGCATGGAGGTGTCAGCGGATCCTGGGCCGAGTGATCGTTCTGTCCTGACATTGCAGGCCACACACAAGAGTGAGGATGTGTGGCGTGGCCTTGATGTTCAGGTGGATAGGTGCCGCGAGCACCTACGTGGTTTGTCGCATGTGCAGGTGGACGACATAGTACTTGCATATGTTCGTGCTGCGGGTTTTTATGGTCTGCATAGATTGGTGGCTACTGTCCCTCTCGATAGAGTGCTATTCACTGCTCTTTGAATTGGGGTATGCAGTTGCCCAGTAAGGATGGTCATATGGAGGTTTAACGGGGCAAAAAGATATATGGTGACATCCTCCAAAAAAGGAACAAATATTATTCTTAGGCAGACAAGGTTGCGTGGTTGGAGGGTATGAATAAGGGAACTGATAATTTTGTGGTGTAGGAGAGTAATTTTGATGAGGTGTGTAATATTGAGGAGGAGGAGGAGGAGGAGAAAGAGGAATGTAAGGAGAGTATGACGTATATGGTGAATATTCCATGGAGGTTTGAGGGTAAGGAATTCCTCCAGGAATTTGGCTGAATGAGTTCATCTCATGCCTCTTAGAATAATTACCTAAAAGGTTAGCACAGAAAAATCCTACGAAGAACAAAAAGAAAACTAACTAAAAAACATCTCACTGAAATTAATTAACCCTTAAAACCGACACCGTCCCCGGCAACAACGCCAAAAACCGATGTGAGTTTTCTCGCACTTAAAATAGATTGTAATATAGTGGTGTAAGTACGAGTATCGTCTCCACAGGGACGGACAAAAGGGAATCAAAGATTAACTAAATTCAGCGATTAAAAAGAAATAAATAAAAATGTGTCGTGCGACATTGGTTGCTGGAAAATAAAAAAGCGAATAAAACGGTTAAACTAGGGGGTTCTTTCTAATTAATGACGACGGGAACATGGATTGATTCCGGGGTAATCAAATTTCTGGCTGATCAGGCCTAATTACATGAAATTAATTTAATTGAGCGTAGCTAATCACTACTAAGTTCTTACCGCTCTCGCGGCGTAGAGTACAATAATTTAGGGGATCAGACTGATCTCTCATGCGATAAGATCCTAAATTATTGCCAAGACGAGCGAGCTGACGGCCCATTAATCGCTACTAATCTCTTAGCGAACGATTAAGTGTGTGTGAATGTGTCCTAGACTAAATTAGATCTCTCTTAATTTATTCTACAAGCAATTGTTATTCTAGCCGCGGTTCCAGGTTACAAAAGATATCAATTAAATTAATCAAACACAAATTAAACGACATTCATGCAATTAACCCATCAAGAATCTAGCCATACATCATGATCAACCCTTCATCAGTCCCAAATCCCTAATTAAAACTACTCACAATTATAATTGAAGAATCAATAGAATTGGAACAAAAAGAATTAATTGTGATTAATTAAAAAGGTGAAACTTACAAAGAATCCCAAAAGATTGATGAACAAGGCTGAAAAGCCCTCTAAAATTCGTGCTAGGCACTCTCTCTAAGCCCCCCCCCCGCTGAAAATGGGGGTTTACAGGCGGTTTAAATAGAAAAATCGGGTGAAATTTGAGTTGGATTGGGATTTTCGGAGGCAGGCACGGTGCCAGGCACGATCGTGCCTTTGACCGTGCCTCCGGAGAAAAAACGCGCATTTTGGGAAGGCACGATCGTGACTCCCTCCAGGCACGATCGTGCCTGCCTGACAGTAGCTCCGCGATGCTTTCTCTTCACGCATGATCGTGCCTGACTTTGAGGGCACGATCGTGCCTACTTAACTTCCGAATTTGGCAATGCGTCCTTCATGAAAGTTGTAGATAATGAAGTCATATATCCACCACAACTTGCGGAATTGGATTTGAATCATCCAATCAAGATATATGATCAAAATGGTGGAAGGTCTCATTCTGAAATCGCAACAGGGATCATCTGACTTCATCGTCTGTTTTCACCTTCTTCCTCTCAGATTCTGGCAAAGGTGTCTTCTTATGATTTGTAGCTATTGAAGTTGTCTTTCATATGCAACTTTAATCGTGTCCTTTGGATGCTTTTACAAAGAGATATGCTTTAACGATTGACAGAAGGTCATCCTGATCGTCGTTTTCAAGCTCTATTCGTCTTCTTTTGATCCCATAGCCAATCCTAGAGCTCTTTTCTCATCAAATTTTCATCGTAAACCTCCCGGTGACCTCCAAAGATATCAAATCAATCTCAAATGCTTCTCAAATCATCCCGATTGTTCCTCAAGCGCCGGTGCCGGGCTCAAATTCCCTGATTTTGATTACAAACAACACAAAACTCGAACCAATGCCCGGTAAACATAACTTGAGCTAAAATTGAGACTTGTAACACCTTAAAGCTAGGAAAATAATCAAAATCCGTTCTCAACACGCATCAAATGCGTGTCAAAATACGGACTTATCACTCTTCTTGAGCGTTGGGGGCAGGAGACACACACATTTCACCTCCCTGTGGTGAGGTGACAGTGACCTTGGGAGATGTTGCTCTACTGACTGGGTTAGAGGTCGAGGGGAGAGCTGTTACTGGTACTGCTTGTCGACAGTGGGTTGATGAGTGTGAGCGTTTGTTGGGTGTTCGCCCCGTTCTTCGGACTGACCTTCAGGGGTCATCTCTGAGGATGTCATGGCTGAGGGAGCATTTCGTTGTGCTTCATCTGGACGCTGATGAGGTGATTATCCAGCAGCATGCACGGGCATATATTTTGAGGCTGATGAGAGCTTCCATTTTCGCTGACACGAGCGAAAATGAGATTCAGGTTCTGCACTTGCTTATGCTAGAGAGGTTTGATGTAACAACACACTTCACTTGGGTAGTGCCACACTGGCTTATCTGTACAGACAGATGTGTCGCGGCTGCCAGAGTGGGAGCACAGAGCTTGGGGGATTTTTGCTACTTCTCCAGATTTGGTCATGGGAGTACATCCACATTGGGCGTCCCATTCTAGTGGCATACCATGGCATTGGTGGACACCCACTGTCTAATGAGCCTCCACTTCTCCTGGGACCATATCATGTACGGGGCGAGTACCCTCTGGGCCGTCGGTATGTCTTAAATCGTTTGTATTTATGTTATTGTATGTTGAATATAAATATATTAATAATATTCTTTTTAATATATGTTACATGAATGGTTAGATGGCTATTTGCTGATCTATATTGCACGTCATCGGCTTCTAGACTTGGTGTGTACAGGGATGCATTTGATCAGATGTCTGAGGATCAGGTATGGTGTGCGTAATATAACATTAACTATAATATGTATAACATAAATAGTAATTGTGTATCTTTATGAAACAGATTACCTGGATGCCATATACAGCTGAGATGTGTGCAGAGTTGCCCCCCGCTGGACGAGAGCATACTCACATATGACGAGCACGTGTGCCGTTGATATGCTTTGACATTGTTGAGCTGCATTTGCCTGATTGTGTATTGCGACAGTTTGGGTTTGAGCAGGTCATTCCAACACCCATCGACACATATGCAGAGCTTCATAGGCTGGATAGGCGTGGGAAGCATACATAGGATTGGGCACTGAGACATGTCCGATACGTCACTATGTGGGACAGGCGAGCTGAGCTAGTTGTGACTGAGACACCGACATTTGTCCCGTCTGTTTCAGCCGACTACATGGGATGGTATTACAACATCACTCGCTTGTTTGTGTCTCCTTCGTTCAAACTTCCTACTCACCATTATCAGCCTAGCTCCTTGGCTTTGCATTTGACAGTGAGTATATTACTAATTACTAACGCAAGTCATTTTCTTTATTTAACACTTGTATTTTTTTCTAACTAATTATAATTGTGTTTTATATTTCAGACACGAGCTTTGCAGCGTATACATCAGAGGGCTATTGTCACAGTCAGTGATGTGCATGACATGGACATGTACGGACAGGCTCTGACAGACATTGCCTCCTTGTGTTCAGACGTGTTGGGGCGAGTCGACTATGTCTATCTTATACATATGCCCCCATCTCAGGATATGCCATCGACATCTAGTGCAGCGGCAGCTTCATCATCCCAGACTCAACATGAGAGAGTGGTTCTTCAACCGCAACAGCGGCGTAGGCTTAGGCAGCAACAACAACATCTCCATGACCAAGACGATCAAGAAGACCATGAGAACTTGTAGTTTGTCTTTTGTATTGGAGTTGTTCTTGTACATTAGATGTTGTAGGAACAATTGACTTTATTTTACGTATTTCCACCTGTAAACTCTTTTATGATGTGTTGATGTGTTCAGTTATGAATATTAGATGACTATTGTGTTATGAATATTGGATGATTGTACTGTGTTTTACCGGTTATGAATCTACTGTTTTGTATCGGATTTGTAAAGGGTATTTATGCGGTGTTTTGTATGTTGTTAAGAGCAGGTGTTATGTATGTATTTGTGAGCAGGTGTGTTGTATGTTTTGTAATGTCTTGTATCTGGTTCGTAACCCCTAAATAGGAGAAGAGATGCCTTATTTATAGAAAACAAGTGAAATCGGACTGAAACTACGAAATACGGAGTAAGGCATTAATCCTATCATTACTGTTATTATAATATAGCCAAGACTCCGTAATGTTTGTAACACTTAAACAGGAGAAGGAATGTCTTATTTATAGCAAACAGATGAGTTTTGGCTAACTGGGACTTAAAAGGTGCTGAAATTCACGTTTCGGAAGTACGCACGATCGTGCCTACTCTGGGACGCACGATCGTGCGTTGCTAGCAGTAGCTGCTGGTGTTCGTTCAATGCAAGGGGAAAGTCGCCCAACGGTTGGGCGACTTTCCTTGACCATGGTTAAATCCAGCAGTAGATTGGTAAATACTTTTAACCCAACATTATTTTCATAATTAATTAATTAATTAATTAACATTAATTCGAAAAAAACTCACTTTCTGACTTCAAATGAATAGATGACAGGTATACATCGTACCCAAATTGTAACACAAATACAAATTGGCTGCTGCCTCTCGTCTAGTCGTCTAGGTTCATTTTTTAGTTTACTTTGACTCCGATTCCAAATTTCCAAATATCCTACCTTCCAAATGACTCGCCAAACTTCCACTTTCATATACCCTTTGTTCTTAAAAAATTCAAAATTGCTATTGGTACCCCAAATCTTACCCCATTTTGTACCCCTCCCTAGTTTTGTGGTTAAAAAAAAGCAATGAATTAAGTGGGGCAATTATTTTGTGGGGTTGGGGTTTTGTGAGCCACTCATATAGTGAGGTACAAATGGGGTACCCCATTTTGGGTACCTCTAGCATTTCTCTAAAAAATTTCCCACTTCCAAGTGACATCCATCACCCTGTCTCTATCCACCCAACTGGATCCCCACCAAGCACCGCATAATCACAATCTCTGAGAAAATGGCAAAACCCATCAATCCATTTCCACACAACATCAGGCCATGACCCCTTCCATGGCAAAAATATGGTCAATCTTCTTCTTCCTTCTCGCCTGGGTTTCAAGAATCATTTTTTCTACTGGTGACGACTTTGTTTACAGTGGGTTTACAGGTGACACCATTATTCTAGACGGGGTTGCTGAGATTAAGAGAAATGGCGTCCTCAAGCTCACTGGAGACAAGTCTAAGATATTCGGTCATGCTTTCTATTCAAAGCCGATAAATTTTAAGAATTCTATTTCTGGGAAAGCTTTCACCTTTTCCACTGCTTTTGCTTTTGGGATTGTTCCCGAGATTGCAAATTTTGGCGGCCATGGGTTAGCTTTTGTGATCTCAAGAACCCAAGGTATGGAAGGGGTTCTCCCAAGCCAGTTCCTGGGTCTTATGAACTCAACCAATCTCGGGAAATTCTCAAACCATTTGTTTGCTGTTGAGTTTGACACGGTTCAAGATTTAGAGTTTGGAGATATTAGTGAAAACCATGTCGGTGTTGATATCAACAGTTTGGTCTCTAATGCCTCTGCAAATGCTACGGTTAGTCTCCAGAGTGGAAAGAAAATTCAAGCTTGGATTGACTATGATTCATCCAAGAATGAATTGAATGTGGCACTCTCACTTTCTTCAGAAAAACCCAATTTTTCAATCCTCTCATTCCCGCTTGACCTCTCTCCGATTTTTGAGGAGAATATGTTTGTTGGCTTCTCTGCTTCAACTGGTTTACTTGCCAGCTCTCACTATATCTATGGATGGAGTTTCAAGATTAATGGAAAATCACAATCTTTAGATCTATCTTCACTTCCTTCTTTGCCCCCTCATCCCAAAAAGAATCATTATATGGCCATGATCTTAAGCGTTTCTTTATCATCACTAGCTTTTATTTCAACGGCCTCCCTGATTGTTACATGCTTAGTTTGTCGAAACAAGGACTTGGATGTGGTTGAGCCTTGGGAACTTGAAGTTGGTCCTCATAGGTTTGATTACCAAGAGCTCAAGATAGCAACAAGAGGGTTCAGAGACAAAGACCTGCTCGGATTTGGCGGGTTCGGTAAGGTCTATAAGGGAATTTTGCCTAATTCCGGAGACCAAGTAGCGGTTAAGCTGATAAACCATGATGCCAAACAAGGTCTGAGGGAATTTGTGTCTGAAATTGCAAGCATTGGCCGACTTAGGCATAGGAATCTAGTTCAATTGCTTGGGTGGTGTCGAAGACGGGGTGATCTTCTACTTGTTTATGACTTCATGCCTAATGGGAGCTTAGACAAGTACCTTTTCGGAGAACCAAAGGCAATATTAAGTTGGGAGGAGAGGTTTAAGATCATAAAGGGTGTAGCTTCGGGGCTTTTATATTTGCACGAAGAGTGGGAGAAGACAGTTATTCATAGAGACATCAAAGCTGGGAATGTGTTGTTGGACTCAGATATGAATGGGCGGCTCGGGGATTTCGGGCTGGCAAAGTTAATAGAGCGTGGCGAGAATTCAGGGACCACTCGGGTTGTGGGCACATTGGGTTATTTAGCTCCCGAGCTAACAAAAACTGGAAAACCTAGTACATGCTCGGATGTTTTCGCGTTTGGCGCGTTACTTCTTGAAATCGTGTGTGGGAGGAGGCCTATAGAGCGGAAAGCACTACCTGAGGAGATGATTTTGGTGGATTGGGTTTGGGAGAAGTGGAAGGAAGGCACGATTCTTGAAGTGGTTGATCCAAGGATGAGAGGTGGTGGGAATTACAATGTGGATGAAGTTGTGCTTGTGATTAAACTAGGGCTAATGTGTTCCCATAATTCTCCAACCCAGAGGCCTACTATGAGGCGGGTGGCAAAATACTTGGAAGGCGACACAATGCCCCCAGATACTTTGGTGTCAGCGGATGGATACCGCCCTAGCAACAAGGGCGGTATTGAGTTTGACAAATTTCTTTCGCCATATCCATCATCGTCAAATTATGAGAATATTAGCACTTGCTCATCTATATATAATAGAGATTAGAGAGTGAGCTATTGATCTTGAAGCTGATTTAGGTGGACATGGGGAGCAGATAATGCATAGATGGAAAACCTCACTTTTTGATCCTGAAGGTGATTTAGGTGTACTATATTGTGCATTTTGAAGGGCGGTTCTGGCACAAATTAAGTTTCTCCCCTCACAGTAGGCCTCTGGGTGGGAGAATTATGGTAATTTTTAAATTCAACTCACAAGAAAGTGAGAAGAATGTCAAACATGTATCTGTGTTGGTATGTAGGCAATGTAGCGCATTTAGATTTTGAAGAACATTAAATTAAACAGCGTTTATTAGTATGCAAATAAATTTATTTCTTGATTTTTTCAAATAAAAAAATAGAATGCTCATTTATATAGGATTCGGGATGTTCAATTTATAAAATTACAATGATAGTCGTCTTTTTTGTAGTGCTTGACACAAAAGTTACTAAACTTTGTAAATATCAAACAATGTTGTTAGACATTAATTGACTTTTATTCTTAAAAGGGTATGTTTGAAAACCATTGAGCTTCAAATTATTGTAATAAAATAAATAGTGAAAGTTCCCGAAATAAGACTAAAAAAGTTTGAAAATTCCAAAATAGGACTGTCATGTTTTTATTTCCTAAATAGGAGTAATTACTGCCAAGTTTGGAAAATACTACCATGTTTGAAGTCTGATAATGCCAAAACATGGCAGTAATAAGTCCTATTTCGGGAATAAAAACATGACAGTCTTGTTTTGAAAATTTTCAAACTCTTTTAGTCCTATTTCGTTTAATATCTCAAATAAATACCCATAACACACATGCATACAACAAATAAATAATGTTGTATAATTATATTTTTCAGAGCTCATTTGTTGACTTTTTTTTTGGGTTTACCAGTCTTATCACTCATTTTTTTAATCAACTGTACAATTTTTGATTTCGCGTTGAATTTTGGGTTCAGTCCTGTACAATTCAGTTCATCATAGGCACTACTAGTCAGGACTGTTTTAACACGTTGATTAGAGTATTTAGAACAAGTTCTAAGAACTTTGAGTCTAAAAAATGTGAAGTCCATGCAAAACAATTGAAAAAAAACTAATCTAAGGTAACAAAGTAACGTTATGACAAAAGAATCTCCTAAACAACTCATTGTAGTTTTGGTCTTCTGGACAACGTTTTGACCCTTTTCTTTAGGTTATACAGTACTTCGTATTATAGAAAGTTCACTTCTTGATTCTTTACTCACTTCCTATTGTCCTTTTGGCCTATGTACATTCGGATTCTTATTAGTTTTTTCTTTTCATAATGAAGAATCACCACCTCTATATTAAAAAAAACTGTCTCTTTCAATTAAATTAAGTTATCTTTTACATAAAATTCTTTTACTGTGAATTTGATTTTTTAAACTCTGGTTAATGTGAACCACAGTGAGCTCAGTCCTACCCCTTCCCCTGGTGCAACAATCCATTCTATAAAAAAGAATATGATCTATTGGCACTTGGACGAAGGATGACAGCAAACTAGTAAATGAAATGAAGTGATGCAATATGTCATATACTCTCTTTCAAAACCCAAAGGGTAACCGACCTCGTGATATATTTCATTACATTTTCTGCCTGCATTTTCTCCCATAAGCAATGGTGGAAATGACATACTGTTTTCTAATCAGACGTGGGCCTTCTTCAAAGCAGTTCGACTGAGCTTTAATCTTCGCCATTCTACTGTTTTATGACAATGTATGGTTGCCGTTTTCATCTTTGATATCTCTCACCGCATAAAAAATTTCGTAGTCACCAAACCCTGCACACAAGCAGGTGATATTTAAACCCTTTTTGAAAAGAGCCAATACAATGAGAGCAATAGAGCATAATGAGCCAAGCTCACCACACAAACTTTAGTCGATGGAAATCAATGCTGTATATCCTGAAGATGGTTTTGAACCGCGCAAGTGACCACATGTGATAATGGACAAACATCATGGGATGAACAAAAAATGGAAAAGTAGGAGAAACAAGTGGGACACACAGAGTAAATTCTATAAAAAAGGGCAGCCCAGTGCACATTGGCATCCTCATAAGGTGAGGTGTGTAAGGAGTAAGTTTTCTATTAATTTTGACAAGAGGCGGCTCCCAAGACTCGAAGAATTTTAACCTCTTGATCACCAGCAACACCGTAAATGGTGCGCCAAGCTCCTCTTTGTACTTCCGGTGTATTTTCTATGACAAATAATTAATAAAATAAAGTAAAAATTTACTTTTGTTATAACAAAAAATATTTCCCCCCAAGTGCTAGGCTTTAAAAAAGAACTTATTGTTGTAAAAAATTCTTACTTTATGCATTCTTATTCAAATGCCCTTGCAGTAATTCTACATTCCAAATTCAGAGCCACCATTACTTTCCCAAAGACTTTTTTTTCAAACTCGCTGTTTTAGTTCCGAACTTTCTGCAGGGGGGATTAAACAGGGATAGAAGTGGGAATTTGCAACAAGTAAAAACTACAATTATCACTACCTTAAAAAAATACAATTACCTGCACCCAATGCTTCAAAGTCATCAACTTGAGGTGACAAGAGCATAGCGTTAGACAATGGCGGGTCCACAGCCATCCAGTCTGAACTAGCCGGTTCATCCGAGCATCTCTCTCTCTCTGAAACCCAGTCCTTAACAAAGGGTATGTTTTCATATGAAATGGGGTCCACAGAAACATCCTCTCTGTCTTTCTGTGCCCTGTAAATGAAAATTGGAGAAGAGAGAAATTCTTTTATCTTCCAAGCAAAACTTGTACGGAGTATATTCCAGGAAAAATGAGGTTTTGCTACTTTTGTTCACTTGGGTTCGCCAAAAGTAAAAGAACAAATCAGGGACCAGAATGCAAAGTTTAAAAGAACAGCTGGGCTTACCTCAAGTGTAAATTGTACTGCAAAAAAACGATATCCTTAAGCCGTTGATGCTCTATGCAGTTACTGGTTTCATGCATCTGATCCAAAGAAGCGTGCTTTGGCTTGGCATTATTACTAAGTAGACTACAAGTTTGGCTTAAAATGTGAATAGCCAAACGAGATAAATTTGGGCACCCCCCACCATATGTTGACCACCACTCAGCTACAATGATTGACTAAAAATTATCAGAGAGATTGTTTATAATGAATCAAACATGGAATTCTTTAAAAGCAACATACATCATTTCCTATAAATAAAATGGATTAAAAAAAGAAGTCTTTTTGGAGCAAAAGAAGCCCTATTTATACAATAAAAAAAGGAAGTACAAGCACGATTGTTTAGGGGGTATAAGGTGGAGTACTTGTGGTTTGTTTGGAACTTTGGATTAGTAGAGAAAGTTGTGAGAAAGATAAGGAGAGGAATAAGCTTCTCATGAGAATTGGAAAGTACAAGTGTATTAATCAAATGAAACAAGTGCCCTTGTTGAAATAAAAATATTCAAAGTAAACAAAAGTAAAAATCGGAAAATTAAAGAGTAATCCCTGCCTGAATCATTTCTTCTCATGAATGGTGAGAAAACAAATTTTACTGTTCTCACATGCTTTTTGGAACATTCTCACATGTTTTTTTGTAACGACCAAATTCTACTCTTACTCTTTTATCCCCCCATAAACAATACATTGGCAAGATAGTTAGCTTTTATATTACTCCATATTTTACTACTTCAAAGTTCAAACCCTACAGTCAACTTTGGCCTAAGCAACTTCTGTCAAATCTCCAAGTTTTTTTCAAGAACAATTATCTGACATTATATTTGCTTCATGTAAGGAATATTGAAAAGAATAGAACATTTTATTTTATCAATAAGGAAACTAGCTCACCAGGAAGAAGAGTATCTCTAGCACGAACTGCCATTTTCCGCCCGAAATCTCCATCACCATTCTGGTAAGAAGAAGTCTCCTTCACTATTCTGTCTTGAACATTCGGGTCAGGAACCAATCTTTCTATGCAATCATACACCAAAGACCTCAAGTGAAGGTGGACATCTTCCTCCGTACCATAAAAGAACCTCGGATTCAGGTAAAATCCCGCAGCATGAAGAGGATGTCTCTGAAGTGGGGCCCACCTATGGTCTATAATGTTCCAATAAATTAAATAGTCACTCTTGTCAGCAAGTTCTTTCTTGATCACTTCTTTTGCCCGGTAAAGACCAGAATAAACATACCCCATTGCAGACCGCTTCTCGCTCCTGACTATTCTTAGAAGTCTCAAAAGTGGGCCTGTCAGGTGTGTAATCAAAGTGCAACTTGACCAAAACGACTCACTGCTGATCAAATCTAGGAAGGAAAATCCCTCAGGCCTCTTTGAATGGGGACTCTCCATCCACTCCTCAGAAGTTACCATCGACTGTAAATAATGCCTGATGTTTATCATTCTTTTTAATGTCAAGAAATCCGTTGACGACCTGGTGTCACCCAAGTCAACCAAGTCAACCCCAAAAGTATGACGCCTCATCAAGTTCAAAATGTTGTTATTGTTATAGATAAACCTAGAGATACTTTTGGCTTGCCCAATGGTTTCACTTACCCACCCTAGACTTGTGATGTCATCAAGCATCATATCGATGCATTGGGAAGCACATGGGGCCCAGAAAACCGTCGGGTAAGTGTCAGTTAACTTTCGACCGGCATCAATATACCGATCTTCGTTACTCGTAATTACTTGTAAGACATTTCTTACCCCAACTTCCTCCACAACGTCCTTGAGCAATTCACATAGGGAATCGGCAGAATTTACCATTTCAGTCCCATCCACTGACCTTAAGAACATTGTCCCCTCAGGACAATAGACCGAGAAGTTTATTATAAATTTACCCCCATCGGTTGTCCACTCGTCGACCAAAACAGAACACCCACTCCTCGCCCATGTGTTTGAGTAACGGTCAGTTTCACACCTTAGTTCTTGAATCGAGCTTTTCAGAATCCAATTTCTCAGTTCATGATAAGTGGGCCCTGTTATCCCGGGTTCTTGGGAAGAAATCGAGTCGATCATTGGTTGGAAATAAGGAGATTTCACAACTTCAAAGGGTATTCCCGCATCTAGTAAAAATCGTGCAATGGCCATGTGGACGTGGTCATTAAGCCTGGCAGTGATACTCAAAACTTCTTTACAAGTTATTACAGCAGATCCCGCCTTCCTAATCCTCCCTTTCTTCTTCCTACCCGTCATTTGGTTGCTTGTCCCTTCCTCTTCTTGACATCCATACGCATTAAAGCTTTGTTCAAGAGCATCCCCCACTGGAAGCAACCCAACACCAGGGCTGAGTTCACTTAAAGCCATAGCTTCAAGGGGGAGGGTATTTTGGGTATCAAGTTTCTGTTTTTTTCTCTTTTTCATTGCAGCCCCATTTAAGCTCTCTTGCATTAGAATCCGAACATCGGGCTGGACTCTCAAACAAGTAGAGGCATTTCCCTTCTGACCAGCAAGGTGTTCTTTAATCCTATGAATCCCACCACCCTTGAATATCTTCCCACAATATATACACTTGAGTTGTACCCTATCTCCATTTTTGTACATTTGGCAATGTTTCCATGCTGGATCGTGTTTTTGTGAAGTGACAGGTATGGGTTCCAAATTCGAAGTCATGATAAAGGGTCCTCAAGAATATCTTTTTTTGTTCTTAAAATTCCAATCTTTCCAAAATACAATAAGATTCTAGGGCTTAAAAAATCTACTTTTGCTTTTCAAATCCCGGAAAGGAAGAGCTCAGCTACAACATGCTAAACAGTTCAGGACTATTTACATTTTCCCGATGATTTCTGAAGGAAGAAAGCATAAAGAACCAAATTTATAAGGGGAAACAGATATCGGGTTCAAGAAAGAAACTTACCGGGTCCGGTTGAATCGTTAGCTAGCATAGAGAGATTGGATTACAAAGGAGACCGAGTTAGGAGAGAGGGTTTGGGTTTCCTTTATGTATGGATGGGCTGAATCGACGGAAGACCGGACAGACTGGTTAGGTTAGCGAAAAGTGGTTCGGGTTGACCCGACAATCCGGTCCATTAAGGGGAAATTAAAGAAAAAATGGCCGGTTTAATGACACGGTAGAACCGGGTGTTTGGTATGGCCTTTGACTATGACCCGGACGACTCTGAGCCTCTGACGCTCCCGGTACTTCCGCTTCTGTTTGGACCGGTAATCTGGCCGGGATGCGGTAAAGGTTCCCGCGGACACGAAACGGCGGCGTTTGCTTGTTCAAAGAACTTGACAAAGTTTGAATCTTTACTTGTGTTCTTTTCTTTTTTTTCACTGATTCGAGAACTAAAACCCAGCTGGAGTTAGAGCTTTTATCTTCTTTACGGTGGGAGATTTAAATCTGATTGCTAAGCTTCTTGATAGCTTAATATCCATTTACTTTTTTTGCAGATCTAGAATTACTCCACCGATGGATCAGGTGTAATTTGCTCATTGACTTTATCATTTTGTTAGATTACCTGAACTTGATTACTAGAAATTTGAAATTATGTCGTTGAAGATGTATGGGGTGCTTGATTGGAGAATTCAGGAATTCACCAAACCTATAGAAAAGTTGCTGTCTACTTTTTCTACCTGGAGGCTGGAATGAATGTTTCTTCTAGCTCTAGCTTGATACTCCCTCCGTCCCTAAATTATCTTCAAACTTTCCTTTTTCGTCCGTCCCAAAATTATCTCCTCTTTTCTTTTTTGGTAAAGAATTTGTGGTTCACAACCATTCTTACACATTCTTACACATTTCTCTCTCCTCTGCACAACTCTCCACCACACAAAACCCACTACCTAAATTATTGTGCCCAGCCGTAATAGGAGAAAAAACAGGGACGGAGGGAGTAATATAGATGGTGATTGGTGAAGAAGGGAGCTTCACATTGCATGGTAAAAAAGTTGCAGTTATACATCTGCTGCAAAGGTAAGAATCAGATGTATGTGTAATGATCAATTTTTTAGTTGAGTTTTGTTAGAGGTACACAAAATGTGTACACCTTTTGGGTACTTTTGTCTGTCCATCATCACAGGCAACTCATGTGTACACCAAACATTTTTCTTTGTAGTTTTGCAAATGACTTGTTCTGGATTCATTTTTTCTTTGACAGACAATTTGTCTGCGAAAGATAGACAAGTGTGCACAAAAGGTGTACACCAAACATTTTTCTTTGTAGTTTCACAAATGACTTGTTCTGTATTCATTTTTTCCAAAAAATTGAGCAATTGAGTGGAGATTAGCAATTAGATCATAGGCAAAACAAAACATATAAGTTCCAGGTTTGAGGGAGCACCAGAGTGATAGGTGCAGAAAATAAAAATGGGTCTAATGTTACAAAAAATTGCAAAACCATTTTCTATCTAAACTGACATGTATAATAATAATAATAATAATAATAATAATAATATAATAATATAATAATAATAATAATAATAATAATAATAATAATAATAATAATATTTCAAGACATTTATAAAAAATTGTAAAATCATATTCTGTCTAAACCAATCATAGTATAGTATTGGTGATCCTTATTTAGGAGAAAACAATAGTGGTCCTATTTGTACACTTTAGAAATGTTTAGGTCATATTTAAGGAATTAACTATATTATTACCAACTCCTAAATTTGTCCCTCCAATGATGTAATCATTCTGAATTATTTCATGTTCAGTAGCTAAATCATTGTTTTCCTATGAGTTCTCATCTTGATGAGGACATTCAAAATTTGACTTCTTTACACAAACAAACTTTTTCATTGAAACTTTTTTAATTAGCGCCGATTTTTTTAATCTTCTCCACTTTTTTATTGATACTATTCAGATTCTATCCTTTATATTACACACCTTGAAATTAATTAAATTTATAAATTTTATCATAATTGAAAATGTTTGTCTAACAAAATCTATAAGTTATAACACCAACACTCAATAGAAAACAATCAACATTAAGAAATCAAACAATCAACTATGGATGGAATCAAAAAATAAACTAATCAGATAATCATATAAGATTAATCTACTTTCGAGTGGATTTTTTTATAAAATTTATGAAAATGTTTTTCATCAAGGGTATATTATGTACATAAAATTCCAGTTTTACATCCAATCGTGAAGTCAGTTAAATTAATTAGGAAAAATTGAAAATGATAATTTCAACTATTGCTGATCCGCTAACAATATTCCCAACTATTGATTATTTTTGTATAATTCCAACTATATGGACCGTCCGCCAATAAGGTGAATTTAAATAGAAATTAAGCGTAAAAATTAAAAGTTGTGATTATTCATAGGGATTATCTGTTATATCTCTTCTCATCCACTTTAGAAACTATAGGAATTTATTTATAGCCGGTCACGTCGGACCATTATAGGTGGACAGTCCCTAAAATTGGAATTATTCTGAACTAATCGATAATTGGGATTATTATGAGCGGACCGCAAATAATTGGGATTATCACTATCAATTTTTCCAATTGCTTATTGAAAAACACTGTGTCAAAATATGTATAAAATGCAGTGTTTTTCAATAATATTTTTAACTGACTTCGAAATTGAACTTTAAACTAGTTTTTGTCCTTACATAATCTACACTTCATAGAGAACATGATCATAAGTTTTTATCAAAAACATCCATTCCGAAAAACTTCAACAAATTTTACCCGAATAATTGTTAATTTAAGGCTGAAAAATCAACTCACTCACACCTTTTACAAAAACTAAACCTAGGCCTATTTTTTGGACCTAGGGCGCCCTCCCACCCCTAGGGCCTCCCCTGAAAGTGCTTGGAAACAATACCAGTTTTGGCAAAAAAAACCACAAAGCCTTATTATGCATATAGACACACTTGTTTGAGTATAAGAGCGGCCTATAGTGAGAATCATACTTTCACAATTAAAATGACGTCATTTGATTTAAGTGAGAACTTAAAAACGCGAATGAGCAGAAATCATAATTTCTGTCTCAATATTTTTTGTGATGTAAACGCCTTGTAATGAAATGTAATTCATGTTGCTAGAAATGTAATTTTGATTAGCGGTAAATGTAATTCGTACACGTAACAACTCACGCTACTCCCTCCAGTGGTTTTTCTCTCGCCTTTCATACCCCTATGTCCCAAATTGATTTGCAAAGTCAACATTTTTTGGACAAATTGATCAATCAATGTTAAAGTTAAATCCTTCTTATTGATAAGAAAAATGTTGGGTATACACGTTCTTGGTGTACACTTTCATACATTCGTCTGTCTTACGCACACAGAGTTGTCTGTACATAGATAACTCTGTAGGGCCCCACAAATTTATTTGTGTACGGACAACTCTGTGTGCATAAGACAGACAAGTGCACGGCTCTATTGATAATTAATCCAATTTTTGAGATTTAAAATTTACATATTCAGAAATTATATTAAAATCTCTTCAAAGTTGCAAACTCCAAATTAGAATATAATAAAAAAACAGACATCCTAATTAAGTGAATAAAATGAAAAATTTTTACCAAGAAAAGTCGATTTTGCAAATCATTTGGGGGCGAAGGTAGTATATAAAATGCAATCCGCGTAATCCAAATGTAATTTCAGACAAGTCAAAATGTAAGATTTGTTAATTAAATGTATTTTTCTTAAGCAAGTCGAAATGTAAAACACTTTAATTGAAATGTAGCGTGAGGCAAGTCGAAATGTAAGTAGTGTTAACGGAAATGTAACTTGAGACAAACCTTAATTTAGATGACATTAATGGAAATGTAACTTAAGACAAGTCGAAATGTAAATCAAGTTAGGTGGAAACGCAACTTGACACAAGTCAAAATGTAAGTTGTCTATTACTACATAGCATATATATAAGCTGAAGAATTGTTGCAAGTCTTCAAATACAATTATAAGTTTTTATTTTAAATTAATAAAACTTCAGTTTTAAATTGACGGGGGGGGGGGGGGGGGGGTCCTAGATTTATTATGAAAATGAAGAAAAATGAAATTGTAGTTAGATTATTAATTTTTTGATGAAGGAGAATAATTTAAATAAAAAAGAAAAACTCAAAATTTTGAAGATTAAGAAGAAAAAAAATGTGGGCAGATTGTTAATATTTTGATGAAGAAGATGAAGATAATTGAATAAGAAAGAAAAAAGAAAAAAATCGGGAAAATAGATGAAAGGAGTGATTGACAGAGAAGAAGGATAACTTACTGGAAAAGAGAAGAAGTTATTGGTCTCTAGGTTGTTTTTAATTTAAAGATATGGTATTGTATTGTGAGAGATATACTATGTACCACCAATATTCAGGTCCGGCCAGGCTGGACCACTTCCCCCGTCCGGCCTCCTCTATTTGGGGGCCTTCCCGGTGGTATTTTTGACCCAAATTTTTTGTATATGTTCTTCATCAAGGCTAGTTCCTCCATACCAAATTTGAGCAAAAAATTCAATCGGGAAGGTCGTCAAATGATTTTTGCAAGTTAACTGGTCCGGACTATGTACATGGTATAACAACTCCATGATACAATTTGTGATATCGCAATGATAAAATGAGTATTTTCCTCGTACAATTGACTTAAAAAAACATAATATGAGCTTCTTAGTGGGAAGCCAGGTTCCCGCAGACTAGGAGGCCGAGGTTGCTCGGGTGCAGCAAGACACCGAAGGGATGCTGGGATGGATCGGACTCCAGTGTTTCCTTGCAATGGCACCCAGACCAGGGTACCTACTCCCACCGCGAATGACGCAAGCCACCGTTTCATAATATCAATCTAATTTAATATGGACTGTTTCTTTTCTAGTGATCAAGTGCTTGGGTTTGCAGTTGACAAAGATTTTGTTCTATCCAGTTTTTCAAAGATTATGATATTGGGTAGCGGCTACGGAGTTTTGAGAGAAATTGGTGCTCAATTGCATCTCTTTTTCGATGACCGGTTAAGCTTGTGATTTTGAAAAACTTTTCCTAATAACTGATCAAATTCATGGAACATAAAAAAGAATACTTTAGGGAGTTTCTGATCAAGGAAGAGGGAGCAATAACGGGGAGAAAATTTCCTCTTTATTGTTGATTTCAATTTTGTTAGCCGTCTATTTTTCTTTTTTACTGTAAACTTTTACAAGATTCGGATTGCATTACTTATGATTAAGTGCTTTGATTGAGTTGGATTATATTTGGTTTGACGTAATTCTCTAGTTGAGTTGTTTCTAATTGGTTATAAACATAATTTATACTTTATAGTAAAGAAACATTGATCATGATTGACTTAAGTCGACCCTTCCCTACAAGGCTACAAATTCCTAAGGTTGTTTTTCGAGTTTCGTTTTTTTATGTTCACATGATTTTAATGAGTCATTTTGCCATAACAAAATAAGAACAACTTATTTCATAATACCGTTGTATATAATGTACTCCAACCCGTAATTATTATATCATCCTCACAAAGTATACATATACTTCCTCTATCCTGCAGGTTTGTTGTAAATTCTCTCCTGCCTTTAAAGTTTAAAACGTCCTGTAAACTTTCTCCTGCCTATATAAAATATCCAGAAATGAAATTCTCACTTCTCTTTTCTGACATTTTATATCGATAAAGTACTCATTCATACATATG